TTCCTACGCACAGCATGACGTCATATTTGAAAGAAAGTCTAATAAAATCTAAACACGTAAGGCAATGAGAGTCATGACCTTGGTAGGGAAGCTCACAATAAAATCATGTTACAAAGAGCACGAGACTAATGAAGGAAACCGACTTTCACTAAGATGGTAAAGACGTTGTTACCGAGTCCGTTCGAACTCAAAAGGGAAACTCTCTTACAAGGAAAAGATACTTGGTGACCCCGGCCCTGTGGAATGCGATGTATACCATAAGGTGCATCTCAAAACGCTGATTCTAAATCTGTGCTCGAAATTTGCGAAACGATCATTTGAAGGCAGTTATGAACTTTTTTCGTAGAAAATTTGAGTACTTTTGGGTAGTTAAAATCACCCAATTTGATCTATTTTACCGTTTGAAGCTGTTGAGGAGAATCTTGAAAGGTGTAACGTTGTATTTATAGCTATCTAAACAATATTCAGCATTTGAAGAGGAAAGAAAAATTTTTATTAATGACTAGCTGGCTTACCCGGCTCCGCCGTATGTTCCAAATAGAAAATTCCATTTCTTAACCGATCCGGACCAAACTTGACACACATACACTTCGGGCCCCGGCGGGTGTCACAGTCCACTTTTCGCTATCGATCGATGTCGATTTTATCGATTTTTTGCAAAATTTGAGCTAGGGAGCTGGAATTTGGCAAGGGGGTGTAATCGAGCATGCTGATCACCCCCACGGGGGTGATCAGCATGCTCGATTACCCCCCTGTGCCAACTCCCAGCCCCGTAGCTCAAATTTTGCAAAAAATCGATAAAATCGATATCGATCGATGACGAAAAATAGCCTATGACACCCGCCGGGGCCCAAAGTGTATGTGTGCCAAGTTTGGTCCCGATCGGTTCAGAAATGGAATTTTCTATTCGGAACATACGTACAGACAGACATACAGACAGACAGACAGACAGACAAACAGACATTCAGCTTTATATATAAGATTTTCACCCTTCGCCGTAGCGCTATTTATTTTTGAAAAAATAATCATCAATCCAGGTTCTCGTTTCGCAGATATGGAAAACAGTATTGAACCAGCATCAAAAGGCGCATTTTTTGATATACAAATCATTATGAATGGCCGGGGTAACCAAGTATCGTTCCCTGCTTAGTACAGTCTGCCCCAATCGGGATCAGGCCGAACCGTCGGCTGAATTTGCGCGCTCGCAGCGCTAGGGGTTTGCGCTGCATACGCGCGCTGTCGCAGAGAGCGAAGAGATTGAGGAGAGAGCAGACTAGCTAGACGCAGAAGTGGCGCGAAACCCTCGCGACGCGCACGCCCGTCAAGCCAATTTTGGCCTGGTTAGGATTGGGGCAGACTGTAAAAACAGCCACAAAAACAAATGGAAAGCAAACCAGGTTTTTCGAGTCATCAAAGCGTTTTTCTTCCTCCGGCCATTTCTTTGTGTCAAAGAATTTCGTCCAAATCATGAATGATCTAATTAAGAAGCCTGTTAGCCTGACCCGCAGCTGCACTCGAGTTTTGGATTTGCGCTCAGAAATTACAAGCTGTCAAACTTGCCTCTGATTACAACTCTTTTCGCAGATGGCGTCGCTTTTGAATGGTTCCCATAACAGCCCCAGCAGACTTCTTTATAACTACAGCATATGAGCTTTCCAGCTTTCGTCGTGCTTGAGATAATGCTGCACAAATAGGCCAATTTTCGCGACGACCTTTTTCCCTTTTGCGCATGCTGGTAAACCGCGGTGAGGTGCTGAAAAGCCACCAAAACAATTATATGTTGTGGACAGAATTATCTTTGCAATGAAGTTTGTGGCTTCAAGAAAGAATCAATCTGCTCAAAGTTACAGCAATTTGAGAGAAAATTTCTCAAGTGCCCGGGAACTTTCTTTACAACCTAATATATATGATAGGAAGCTAAAAATGAAAGTAGGGAAATATGACATGCACAAAGAATTTGGTAAGAAAATGAAAATCAGTGCGAAAAGATAAAGAAAAAGTAGCTCAGTCACTGAAAAATACGATTACACAGGTTTTTGATATACCATTTGATGGGAATACATTCACCTTTTTCAAAATGTAAGAAATAGTACAGCAGAAATATCCGAAAAATAGGGAAATCGCTCAGCGCGTTGACTATTGGGCGCTTATCAGCTGTTGGTATTGATTATTGCATTTGGCGTGCGTTGAACCTGGTCCTGTGTGTCTACGGTGCTTGCACACAGGATGAACACGGCGTGACCCCTAGTCAGTTGCGCCTTCCTGCGTCTCCACGCCAGGCGCACTAGTTTTCTTTGTCTGCCCCTCGACTGACGACCTTCACGATGTGCTCGTCCCTCTGCGCACGAGGACAAGCTCCTCACTTACGACGTCCAGCGATTTTGCCGCGCGCCGTGATAAGCGATAGCCGCCCAACGTATCGCGGCGAAAACGAGACGTGCTGGGTACGGACGATGTTTCGAAGGTCGCGACCATCACGACGGGGGATTACTATGGGCCCTCAAAGCGATTTTCTACCCGCACTTTCGCGTCAAAAATTAACTGAAAAATTCGTTCTCGGTATACTTAATTTTTTTTGGACATCGAGTGTCACCCTTTACAATTCTATAGGACGGGAAAACTTTTGGATATACCAAGGTTGGCAAAGTGTAAGCTTCTGTGTCGGTTTTTTGTCGTGATATGCTTGCAAAATTATCTCGTCTCAGAAACAACATGGAATCAGCAAAATATTTGTACTAATTCAAATCTAAAGACGTCAATAAAAGCCTATGTGGAAAAAACTACGCCCACTTTCTGTGATCTCAACACTAAAGAAGGTAGCTTATGTGGTACACAAAAGTGGAGCTGTGAAGTAGCAGATCTTCCCGTGTCAGTTCAAAAAACGAAAATACAAAGCTCTGTTAGTAAGAGCTGTTTTTGCTCAAGCTGAAGTTCGTTAATTTGTAACAGGGAAATGATCCGGTTGTATAAGGCTTAAGTTTTGACGGGAAGTACACGCGTTTAACAAGTACGCTTTATTGCAGCGAAAAACAATAACAACAAAGGCCTGAGAGCCAACAAAAAGACAATAACAATTGATAAACTTGAAGTCGCGGGGAATTCTTGATTTGACCTTATGGTAGGACTCGGCTTAATCTATACTTAATGATCTTGATTACTTGGGAAAGAGGTCTGTTATTCTTCTGACCAGCTTCTAATCCCCGCGAGCCTCTTCTGCTCGGGGCTCCTCTTTATCCAGCTCCTCTTTATCCAGCTCTTTTCAAAACCCTGCCAAGAAGGTGAAATCGACTGCGTTTCCTGCCAACCCCGCATTCGTGATCTCCGGATATCTTTGATATTCCTTCCCTCCGGGAGCCATCATCAGCGGCGGTGGCTGTAACTCGTCCCGTCGTGCGCCGGTAGTTCTTTTGATAGTGTCCTACAGGGTTCGCGCGTTCATCAATCCGCAATGCTTTTTATAATTGAAATGCACTTTCCGACACTTTTGCCTCAGTGCACACCTTGTCATTCTCGAGTATCAAAGATAGGGGGGAGGGAGGGAGCGCCCCTTACCGGGGCCCGGCACGGATGGTTTGGGGTCAAACTGGACTTCGTTTTTGAAGTAGAAGGAGTGGGGATATCGTTTTTAAAAGTTCCTGGGGGAAGCACCGAAAAAAAATCGACGAACATATCAGGTTTTACTAGTTGAACGTATTCTTTCGCAAATGCGCGAATTTCAAGCAAGTCTCAAACAAACAAATGACTTGTTTACAGCGCACAAACAATCACATGGCTCCGAATTTGGGCTATGTGTATACAACATTACTCTAAACTATGTTATGTAAAAAGCTCCAAAAACTTATGTGTCCTAATATCTGTTCCAGGATTTGGTGAAGAAAAGGTTTCTAGACCAGCACCAAACCAATTGGGTTGGTTAGGAGCATAAATATCGGGGAGTTCACGTAAGTTTTGAACCTTTTTGATTTGGACGATTAGAACGGTCGAAAATCTATCATATAGTGAAGAGAGCGAATCAAATTATTGCAACTTCTTTTTTTGAGCTGAAAGTAGTGTAAATGTACGCGTTGATTGATATCGCGCTCCAATCACTTGCGGTGTCCTTTGAAGTATGTGGCGATATATGCATCGCTGGATTACTAGGGCCACAGACTTGGTTGGCCTAGGAGGTTAAGGGTTTTCCTACTGAGTTTTACGTCAAGAGGGACTTCTTAAATTTTCGCGAAGTCATGGAGGACTTTGTTTCCAAAAGTGCTCCAAAGCAACGCGTGCCGGGCCCTGTCCATTACTTGTGAGTGCCGATTGTCGCGCGGCAAGGCGGCCTAAATGAGCGCGCGGACAACTCGTACAGTGAGGTACGCGACGCGTGAGCTTTAGTGACGCGGCTTAGCATTAGAGCAGGAAATATATGATATATCAAATCGAATTAAAGCACATCAAAACCTGGTATTTCAGATACGGTGATTTCTACAACATTCCGTAAGGTCTTCCAAAAAGACTTTGAAATAAACTCTTTTGAAAACAATATTGAGCACATCTTTAGGGAGGCGCAACCAAACAGCAGATAAACAGATATAAAAGAATCGTATTAAAATTAGTAATGAAATATCATAATTGTTGAAGAATGACTATGTATGAGTGATTGTTATAGGTTTGAAATAAATGCAAAACATCATGTGCAGTTGTCGGACATAAATAAGATACGGATATGATATAACATGATCTCTCTCACCTCGGTTTAAATATGCTTGAGGGAAAGCAGACTTTCCTCGAGGAAATGCATAGACATCAGCCCTTCCCTCTAATGAAGTGCAGAGGTCAGTTGCAGCATGAGGTATTATTAAATGAAATAAGGGACATAACAAGGGTTGAGGCTAACAGAGGAAAAAGTAAACCTGGGTTACCTTGAGTGACCTAAATAGCAGCAACCCCATCATCCTTTCTTAGTGCCACTATGGTTATATCGCAGTCTTACTCCAAACTCTATGCTCACTCAATCAACAATGCAAATGGCATCGCTGGTAAACAGCTTTATGCTGCAGCTGATTCTTCGCCCTCAGGTCTGTTCTTAGTCTTTAAAAGTACTTATGCTAAATCTATGTCACCCAGAGGTTATCTATGTGGATACAACGCCAGCCTCAGGCGACAACGGAAGCATTGCTAGGACCTTACTATGGAAAGAAGGACGTAAGTAAACGTTTCAAACAACGCCTTGATTTATAGCATCCCCAACACCCTCAAGACCTACATTGCTCTTGCACGTAAAGGTGTCCGACATGACTCCTACATATGCCTGCAATGTGAGAAAACAAACAGTGGAAAAGTATAAAGGTTAGCCAAGAAAAAGTGCTTCATGTACATGGCTAGATTCTAGGTAAGAGGAGAGGTACCAGTACTTTTTGTCTACTATTCCGAAAATACGATTCAGAAAGCCTGCCGCATTGGCCTTTACGCTCTTATGGCCAATGGGATGTTCACTCTCCACCCGAAGGAGCTCGGAAGACATGCACAGCTGTACTGTGTACATGCTGTGTGCTCGGGTGGAGTAGATGTACCAGTACTTTTTGCGATTATTCAAAAAAGGACGGAGCGGGAATACCGGGTGATGTTCAAGCATTTGAAGGACCAGCTAGACAAGTTTGAGGGAGAGAATTACTTGCCAAAGAAGATCAAATGGACTTCGACAGGGGTGCAATAAAGGCTGCAAGCAAGACATTCCCTCAGGCAAAGGTGGAAGGCTGTGCCTTTCACCTAGCCCAAGCTTGGAATAGGAGGCGAGACCAGCTTGGGCTTTCGGCGTCATCAAGGGAGATAAAACGAATGAAAGAATAAGGAAGTGGCGGCAGATTATACAGGGAACAATATTTGTCTCTCTTCGATTGCGACGAGAAGTGAGGGCACTACATGCTTCTCCAGTGGAAGAAGGTCATGAAGCTCACACAAAGTGTGATTTCACATATTATCTTAAGCAAACGTGGCTAACGGGTGCGTATAAAGACTTATGGTCCAAGAGTGGGGGTCGACGAACTGCGAACAACGAATTTGGCAGAGGCTTTCAACAGGTAGTCACATATTACACTAACGAGGGAAGTACTTTCAATGGTGGCTGTTTGATATGAGATGCACACCATCTGAAGTAGCTTCGAACGCTGATTTCAAATCTGCCTTCCGTTTCTGCGGAACGCTCTTCTGAAGAGAGCTATGGAAGCCTGAACATCCTATTTTGGGGGCGCTCCCTGAGTTTGAGGGCGCTGCTATGCGCGTTGGTGGTGCAGTAGTGTAATGATTACTTGCTGACATTGAATGCGAGAGGTTGATGGTTCAAATCCGATAGAGAGCGAGCCATTCTGCATTTTGAATGTGAGTTTAAAAGCACTCTAAATCGTCTGCAGACACTTACCGTGATGCCTTAGCACAAACAGGAGAGAACATCTTTTCGACTAATGTGTGCATTTTTTGAGCTTTATATGGTGACATAGGTGCTACGCCACGTTCGATCCTGTTTTACTAGTAAGGAAGTCAAATAGAATTTCAGGCTCTCAAGGCTCTTACAAGCAGTTTTGCCAGAAAATTCTTTTTCTAGGCCACTTATGTCAAAGACATTACAGTAAGTGTCTGCAGGCGATTCAGAGTGCTTTCAAACTCACATTCAATAAGCAAAATAGTTCGCTCTCCACCGGATTCGAACCATCAACCTCTCGCCTTCAATATCAGCAACTAACCACTACATTACTGCACCACCAATGCACATAGCAGCGCCCTCAAACACAAGGGGCGCCCCCAAAATAGAATGTTCAAGCTTTCATAATTCTTTTCAGAAGAGCGTTCCGCAGAAACGAAAAGCAGATTTAAAGTCAGCGTTCGAAACTGCTTCAGATGATATGCATCTCATATCAAAAGCCCACGGCCATTGGTAGTACTTCCCTTGTAAGTTCAGGACTACTTCAATTCCAGCAAACTCGGCGAACTTTTCGAAAGTGATCACCCACCATTCAAGCAACTCGTCACAGGGCTGAAGAATATCAACTCGGTCGCAAGCTGTGCACTCCGCTACCACGAAAAGTAAGTGAAACTGAAAAGTGAAAAGTGAGTGGAACAGCGTTTTGAAGAGCTTTGCATTTAGCATCCCGGCGAAGGAAGAACGGGAAGAAATAATATGCGAACTGATGCAAGTGTGGGCAGAGTTGTTTTAGGAGAGAAAATGACTATTAGAAACAATTTAATAAAAAAAAGTGCAACGCTTTCGAAATGTCGTTTCCACAAGCGACATAGGAACTTACTGCCAGAAAATGTCACGTTTCGTAACGGAGAAATCAACATAAATCGACTCAAAGGACTCTGCATTCCTATTTTGACAACTCTGATTTTTGCTTTCTAGTTCGTTGTGTGATAGCAATGTTTTTCATTTGTGAACTCGAAGCAATCGCTCCCCAGTCTTCTTCTCCATCCTCAAGTTCACTACAAGATCTTCAATCCACAAGACTTCTTTGAAACAGAAAACAATTGCTTCAAGCTTGAATAGAGATCAACAAAATATTTTATGTTGAAAAACAAACATGAATGCACAAACATAACACGCTATAAAAGTAAACGATATAGAACAAAAGGTTAAAAAGCAGTACAATAGAATACGAATACATTGTACAGAAAAGGCTCTACTATGGAAACAAACAACATAGGAGATCACTTGATAACAAAATAACAATAAACGTTATGATTTGTGAATAGCTGAGTTTGTGCGCTCGCAGCGCTAGGGGCTTGCGCTGGATATGCGCTGTCGCAGAGAGTAGAGAGATTGAAGAAAGAGCGGACTAGTTAGCCGCAGGTGGGTGTGAGCAATACCCTCGCGACAAGTATCCCCGCCATGCCAATTTTGATCTGGTTCGGATTGGGACAGACTGTACCTTTTTTCTCGTTGTCCTGGATTCAGTTTTAGCAAACTGTATATCAAATTAAAGCCCTTAATATCAACTTTTACGCAGACAATGTTCCAAAACCATTTTTATAGTTTGAACGAGAAATCCGACAGAAACCGTTTTTTCAAAAATCTCCTGCTTTTCCCTTAGTTTAACTCTTTTCACGCGGTTTTTTGTGCATTCTATAGATCCTACCTACGATCCAATGTTAACCTCTTCGATTATGTGAAATATCGTGAAAAGTGCGTACTTGATCTGTTTCCGTATTTTCGCAGCGACTGTTTCTCTACTTGGGTGATCATGGCTCAGTATAATGAGCGCAGCAATCAAGAGAACGTCCCGAAAACAAAAACGATAATGCGGGGGGGGGGGGAATTTAACAGAAGCATCAAAAATCAGATTGGCTTTGACGTGCATTTCAACTTGGTGAAAACTCTGCGTTTTTAAAACTAATTCTTTCCTTGTTTATCTTCTTTTGATAATTGTTAATTTGGAAACATGGTTGTTTTTGGTATAAAAACATAGAAAAGATTAATTTTTCTTTTTTGCAGTGTTGAGGATACCTGGTCCTAAAGCGAAAACCTGCAATTCGAAATGCTCCAAATGAAGAATTTCCAACTTATTGCAGCGTTTTTATCCGCTTTTCAAAAGTTTCTTTTGCTTTTACCAAGTGTTTGGCATCCTCTTCTCTTTTCTGGTCTTATGTAAACACCCTTCACTTTTCATGAGAGGCGGATAATCAAACAAAATTCACTTTTGAGGCCCTGTCTCTAAACTATCGCAGATATGCTTGGAAGTTGGCTATGCGTCAGGGTGTTTCCTAACTATAGGGCTGTTTCAAAAGTTCTACTTTATTATCGATGTTTACAATTCACCATAACTCTCTTTGAAATTATCACTGGAATGAAATGAAGTATTTTACAATCTACAAATCTTTGTCAAATTTATTCCTACTTAAAAATTACTTCGCAAAAACGAGAAAGATTTTCTAGGCGGAAAACATACTTTCTTTAAAGAACGTCTTCTTTGAGAAACCATAAATTGATTTGGCTAAGCAGTAACCTTGATTTATCAATTTCGCTAGATCAAATTTTCTTAGAAAAATCTGACCCACTTATTTTGACTTTTTGAAATGGCAGAAAATGCACTTGCGCGCGGCATACTGACAACCGCAGGAGTACAGTATGCTTATTATTTTCAGCTATCGTTCATCTTGGCATACACCCATCTATTACCATTAATTTGTCAAGTACGGTGCATTACTCAATTTCAACTTTGTATAGTGACTTAGCTCGACTGTCGCATCATTCCACTGAAGCTGTTTATGTCTAAGTTTTTGATACACGGGTTTTTGTTTTTTAGCTAGTTTACTAGCTGTTTTTTTTTTGCCCCAAAAGTTTAATCTACATTAGCTGGAGGACTCCCAAGTCTATATCTGTGCCGGGTAGACAGTTAAGTTATTAAATGTTTTTAAAACACTGATTAGGTCAAGTCCTTCGCGAATTCATATTTGAAATGATGCATAGAAAACGTTCTAACCATACTCTGAGAATGTCTTAATGTGTGACGGGATGTACAGAATCTTCAGCAGGCATTTCTGTAGTCTGCTCCACAAATTACTGAGAAATGGATTGAGTTGTTTTAAGTTCCACCCGTCTTTATACCGCTTTTTAAACTACTGCAAAAAAAGAAACCATTCTTCATGAATATTTATACCATTTGACCGCTCTTTTCTTCTAGTTTGTCGTGCATGCTTTCGTTTATGGAACTTTCCCCGTGTGGTTGCGTCCATGGGAGAATAGCAAAACAAATGTGAACACTTTTTTTTGCTTCTCGTGAAATCTGCAGCCAAAGGAAAAAGTTTCTTTTGAATTTATGCAATGTTTGCTGGGGATTTGAATGCTCATTGAGATGTGATATCAAAAAGTTTTGAATTTATGATATTCTAGCAAAATGAACTGTCATTGTGGTCCTTACAAGTTGCATAGAATTAATGACCGCAAATCACGAATGTGCCTATATAATGAGGTTGCGCATGAAACATTGATCAGTAGGAAAACCAAAAAAATTGTTTCAGTTGTCGGTGGCGAACAAAATCAAAACTTCAGCAAGTGCATTTTCTACCATTTCAAAAAGTCAAAATAAGTGGGTCAGATTTTTCTAAGAAAGTTTAATCTAACGAAATTGATAAATCAAGGTTACTGCTTAGCCAAATCAATTTATGGTTTCTCAAAGAAGACGTTCTTTAAAGAAAATATGTTTTCCGCCTAGAAAATCTTTCTCGTTGTTGCGAAGTAATTTTCAAGTAGGAATAAATTTGACAAAGATTTGTAGATTGTAAAATACTTCATTTCATTCCAGTGATAATTTCAAAGAGAGTTATGGTGAATTGTAAACATCGATAATAAAGTAGAACTATTGAAACAGCCCTATAGTTAGGAAACACCCTTACGAACAGCCAACTTTCAAGCATATCTGCGATAGTTTACAGACGGGGCCTCAAAAGTGAATTTTGTTTGATTATCCGCCTCTCATGAAAAGTGAAGGGTGTTTACATAAGACCAGAAAAGAGAAGAGGATGCCAAACAGTTGGTAAAAGCAAAAGAAACTTTTGAAAAGCGGATAAAAACGCTGCAATAAGTTGGAAATTCTTCATTTGGAGCATTTCGAATTGCAGGTTTTCGCTTTAGGACCAGGTATCCTCAACACTGCAAAAAAGAAAAATTAATCTTTTCTATGTTTTTATACCAAAAACAACCATGTTTCCAAATTAACAATTATC